TTAAGGTGGAATAACATGCTCTGAAACAACAATCCAGAGTTTGTTATGTGCAGAGTAAACACACAACTGTGACCCAGTCAGGTCTTACAGGTTGGCCAGCGGTGCACTTATGGTTTCTCACACACTTCGACCAAAGGGGAATACTTGGCTCTAATTAGCACCGAGCATCTGGCAAATGTCAGTGAGCTCCTGCATGCAGCATTCCTATTTACTTAGTAAGGTTGCCTTCAGATGGCAAAAAAAAAACCCTGGATGAGGGTTTGCTCTGTTTCAGACTGAGGTCCTGGGAGTGTTTTGTTATCATACTGTGAGTGACATCTGTGTGATGTACGTGATGTTCTCACACTGTCCTCCGAAACCCCCACGCTGAATTAGTTTGATTTGGAAATATGTGCTTAACCTGGGTTTCTTTTATTTCATCTAAGACGTATGTGTCAAACTCAAGGCCCGTGGGCCAAATGTGGACCGCCAAGTCATTTTTGTGGCCCACGGGACTTGTAATAAAGTCCATGCTGCTGAGTTTCTCAACCTGAGAGAAATTATTTTTATGAATTTAAATAAATAATCAATTGCAGAAACATATAAAATACATAATAAATACATTATATGAGTAGTTACATCTGTTCAGTCTTACAGTTACAACCGGCCCTGTACTGAAGTATTCATTATATCTCTAGTAATGGTAATGGGTTTCTTTAATACCTGTGCCTCATCTTCTTCTTCTTTTGCTTTTATTTCAGGCGTTGCCTCAGGAAAACGTATCCATTCTACCTCACAACTTGCCTAGACCGCCGATCTTTTTATCCTCTATTTTTAGTTCATTTTCAAACGCTCTGGACTTTTGCCTCATTTACTTTATCTTCAAACTGATCATCCGTAACTCTCCCTCTGATAGGACGTTTGTTTCCACCCTGGTCACTCACTGAAACGTCAGACCTGGTCGAGATCTCCACAGATGTTTATAATATACATTCTATAATGACCGAGCACAGGTTTATGTGTGGCCTTTACCCACAGTTCAAAGTGTGTCTCCTTGTAAAGTCTAAAATCCAGACATCAACAGTAAGTGCGGTTCACAGCAGCACAGCTCCCTCTCTCTGCAGCCACAGCACCGAGGCAGAGTTCAGATCGGTCGACTCGATCATCGCTCCAATCTCCAACCTGACAAGATTACACACCGGCTTCCTGTCTCCTCGGCAGCTCCTGATACTATCTCAGTCTGACTCCGCGCTGCCCTCCCAGTACGGATCTGTCCCAGCCTCAGATAGGACCAATTACAGCCTAATGACATGTTTTTATTAAGAAAACTGCGTGTAGGAAAAGCAAATGTTCATCCAACTCAGCACGCCTCATTTAGGAGATTAATACTCAGGCAGAGTCTGCAGCCGAAATGAAAAAAGAAAAGTCTTTGGAAAGTGGATCACGATGAAGGAGGCCGTTCATGTGCAGATCAACATGGAAATCCATTCATTTCTGTTACAGAAATAACTCCAGAATTAAATCCTTCACGCTGGGCTCCTTTCAAGTATTAATGGCGTACGCTAATTTTTATGGGAAAATGAACCGAGTGTAAGCCCTGCACAGATTTTTGGCTAAAAACTTCTCAGTAGATATTTAGTCATAATGAAACACAGCATGTGGAGTCAATGAAAACCAAATGTCACCGCAGGATCCCATCATAAATAATTGAATTAAGTGTGATTACCCGAAAGGCACCAGGTCATTTGCATTTGTTAGGATTAATTAAATAAGACACAAGTGAAAGAAAGAAGACAATAAAGAAGACTGTCTCGCATTTACATTACAGCTGAGGAGAACTGCATTCAATTGAATTAATTCTTTTTCTCAAGTATTTACTACAAACACGACTTTTTTATCATGTTATTTATGCTGCACAGAGAAAGAAATATATTTGCAACAAGAGTAGAAACAATATAAAAATGATCATCTTTCTCAACACAAGTACTAATACTAATTTATTGATTTATTTATTGAGAGAGCAGAAAACACTGATCTGAACAGTCACAAAATTAATATTTACTTTTTAATCTACTTTTATCCTATTTATGTTTTTGTTCCTGATTAGTGAAAATCTGTTTTTTATGTAAATTCAACTTAAATTCTTTTTTTTAGATTTCTATGGATAAAATCAAGTTTTAACCAATAAGAAAATAGATATTGTTAAATCCTTTATGCATTAGAAATGTTTTTTTTAATTTTTATTTCAGAATTAACACCTTGACTAATTTGACCCTTGACAGATTTATTGAAGGTGAACTCCTCACGTCATGTTCCCGTTCACTCAAATTCAATCTGAACGACCAACTCCAGTTCTCTGTGAACATGATCAATCATCTCTTCACCGGCCACAAACCTGGTTTGATGCCCACACACACATTGATCCCAACTCATTTGGCAAACACATGTGAAGCCCAATCCACCGACTCTGCTTGTTCACAGATGGAAATCAATCTCTATTAATGTTCCATTAAAAGCAGGCACTTGTGGAACAAATCGCTCTCAGGGACTCTGGCCATTTGTTTTGAATCAGACTGAAAAGTCACGGCTGTTTATTGAAAACAATCAGACGTTTCCTCTGCAGTTGCTGCCGATATTTTTCACAAAGACTATTTCCAGAAAGCAGGTCATCTGCCTGAAATATCTGAGGTCTGGTGGTCTTACCAGGTGAAGGCCGATGGAAAGTTTTTTACATTTTTAGTTCAACTGTATCCATTCATTCTGGATGAATAGCCAAACCCAGCAGATCGAACCAGTGACATTCTTAATGTAAGGCAACAACCGTTTTACCCTGCGACACTTTGGCAAACATAATTTTGTTTAATCAGAGTCAGAGCAGAGAAGAGAGCGAAACACAAGCAAACATTCAGGGAGTGTCCCACATTAGCAGGTCAACTGGGGGCAGGGTTGGTGACAATATATGACATAAAAAGAGCTTCGACCAAATGTACTCCTTATAAACAACACTAGGTCATGAGCCATCGCTAATAGAAATGCAGGAAGTCAAACAAAAACAAATAAAAGCCAATGATGGGAAGCTAAATGTACCTGACCCTCCTCAGTGACTCAGCAACATTAGCTCACAGAAATATAAGTTGACATTTGTCCAAGGCAGTGTACCATTACAAACTTTTTGCAGCAAACCTTTAAAACACACTGTGCTGAAGTAAGAGCTAGTGCCATAGTTAAGAAGTGAAAATATTTAACTCGCTTTCTGTTGTTGCTCTTCCTGTGTTTGGGGAAAAGAGTCCTCCTGCAAACGATCAACAATTAAAGGTTCCAGGAAGGAGCACTTTGGTCGGTCTGTTAGATAAACAGTGTGACTGTGAGGAGACCGCCTCTGTATGGTATTGTCATTAATATTTATATCCCATGACATTATTTGTAAGAAATAAGTTTTAGTTTGTGGGAAGTGAAAATTGTAGAGATGACAAACAGGAGGCACCATTTCCCATAATGCAGCATTGCTGGTCACAAGTTCCATAGTGTTCATGCATCTTTTGGTGAACAAATATAAATGAGTAAAACCCTGACTCCAACACCTCTGTATCTTCTGCTGTGTCCTACAGCCACAACAGTGATTCGTAGACAGAGCTGACTTTTTTATAGTGTGTTCATTTCAGGGAAATGAGGTTTGACAAAATAAGAAGACAAAAGAGCTATTTTAAGTGTGTGTGTGTTTTGATTGAATCCTGTCCAGATTGAGACAGACAGACAGCAGCGTCAGACTGGACTCTGGGGACGTTTCCTACTAAACTATCAACGCTGGCACTTTCTTCACATCCTTCACTTCAGCAAATTACCATATCAGCGGCAGGATCTGAAAGCAGTCCACCAAACTATAATCTGTGCGTTCTGATGCACAATTAAAAGATGTCAAACCGGGTTTCTTTTACACTGTTTTGGTCCCGGCTGTCAGCACGTCAAACGCTATCTTAAAGAGGAATCGTTTAGCAGAGAAAAGACACTGGCCAGGTTCGCTGACAGTCAAGAGGGGGCTCAGCAGCCGCAGGGCATGTGGGTAACCAAGACACATAAAAGAAACGGGAACACGATAAGAGAAGTAGCGACGGTGAGAGGGTGTGGTGGGCAGAGGCCGGAGAGGGGTGTGTGTGTGTGTGTGTGTGTGTGTGTGTGTGTGTGTGTGTGTGTGTGTGTGTGTTGGGGGGTGGAGGTGGGAGGGAAGGTGGGAAGGAGGGAGGGAGGTGACTACAACTTTTCATGCCCTGCTCTCTCCTGGGAACCTGCAGGGCTAAGACGCTGGAGCTCCTCCA